TTCTTCCTTCCTTCTTCTCACAACCTCGTTAACTCTCTGCTAAATGCAGTCTCACTTTGGCCGATCTATATGTCAGAAATAAGATCACTCATTAGATATTTTCTGCCATAACAAATGCTTAAATAACCGCAAAACCTAAATATGACACAATAGAAAAGATTTTTTTGGTTTTGATGTTTATGTGTTGCATAAAGGAACCACACGACACAATAGAAAAGCAAACTACCATAAGTTTCTTCCTTGGAGACTCAAATGCACCATAACACATTGAATGATGATCAGTAAATTACATATTGTTTTTGCTAAACCAGTGCAATAAATATACATATTGTTTTTGCTAAACCAGTGCAATAAATAGTAAAGTAACAATACTAAGTTGCATGGAAACATAGAACAAACCAAAATTGAAAGAGTAAAACAGCATTATCTCTTTCTTTGTCTTGCACTTAGAATGTGTTTGCCGCATGTCATCATCATCAGCTAACCTTTAACACAAGACCAAGGAAAGTGGGTTCCCATCCACTTCCGCTGATATGTAATGACCAAAATAAAAACGAATTTAAAATTTGATGATTGTATTACCAGTTTCAAAAGTTAGGTGACTAAAATATAAATATCCTAATAGTTAGGGGACTATTTATATAATTTACTCTTAATTTTATAAAACATTAGAGCGTCGAATCATATAGATTATAGGCTTTGTTGTAGCCTAGCCTTTTGGTTGGGTGACAATTAAAATTTTAATTTTTGTTGATGTAACTTGTTGCCTGCTTTAATTTTCTCTCCCAACATGATCAAACGTGATGTGATCTTCATATTCTTGGATATGGTTTCATTATTTTACTATGCGTTATTTTCTATAAATATATGCATCAAAATTATCAATGTCTGCTCAAATTTCTTAAGGATGAATCGGAGAGGAGTAAATGGGATAATTGCTTTTTTTCTAAATGTAAATTATTATATATTTTAATTTTTTATTGAAAATTTATTTACCTTCTTAAATTTTATAGATTTATTGTCTCTTAAAATTTTATAAATTTACTGTTTCTTAAAATTTTATAAATTTATCTCTCATAGTTAATATAAACTCACGTGCTGATCTCTGCCCACATGCATGTCTCAAATAATATTTCTATTCATCTATATAAAACATTTATATATTATTATATTCAAATGCATTTTTAAAATATTTTGTATGCCATTTTTCTACTATATATATAGCCTTGAAAAAAGATATACATGCCCAAAATTAAGAGCCCCTAGGGCAAGAGGTTCAGTGCAGGCCTCATTGAATAAGGACCCATCTCGAAACTTTGATCAACCATCAAGGATTAGGTTAGAAAAGTGCGTTACGCAATACATTGAATAAGGTATTTAAGCTTTACCTCCAACTCTCCACTTTTAATATCCATTTCGTATGTATCTATTTATCTCTATAAATACTTTAATTTTTTATATTTAAACATTTATTATTAAATAACTATAAATTTTTAAAACAAATACTACAATTTATAATCACCTTAGATTAATAAAAAAATAATTTAATCTCTTTGAAATATAGAAATATTTGAGAGTCAGGACCTTTATGAGCACCAAGAAAACCAATTAATTTAGGTTTATCCATTAAGATGCTTACCTAACATGATAAAATTATTATTCCTTATAAACGTAAATAATTTTAAATAATCTTTAATAAATAATATTAAAATTTGTCATTTTTTATAGTACAATTGTGCAAACAATTACAATATAAAAATGATAGTAAATATTAGAAGTCTTACTTAAATTTATTAGATATATATTTTAAAGATGACAATAAAATCAGATCAAATTTCTTTCATTCCTTTTTTTTAATACAAAGGAAATAAACTAAAACAAACTAGCTGCTAAACAGATGCCATATTTCGCTGCTGCAGAAACGCATTCCACCGGAGGATCTTGGAACGTCACCAAACCAGGAGCAAGCGACCACGCCAAATGAGCAAGGATGTCAGCAACTTTATTGCACTCCCTCGGAATGTGACGAACTGAAACACTCCAATCCCGATTGAGCAAAGCCTTGATATACGGAATTAACAACGACACCCCTTGTGATGTTGGCATATTTCTTTCATTCCTTCTTTTTCATTATGATTTTTAGGGGGGCTGCGGGGGGAATGTGAACGCCAAATAAAAAAGTATATCCCCTAGACCAAGATGTCGTAATGTGGACCATCGGAAGTATGGTTGGGGAAGAGGCCTACCCAGAGGATTTGAATATTTGTATAATTTATGAATACTTTTTTGGGCTAAATTGGATTGAAATTGCAGTCTTTATGAGAGGGTGCGACAAAGAATGCGTCTTATTTGACTTTGAAGAGAGGGGCCAAACCCTTTTTTTTATCTTACAACTAAAGTTGCTCCCCTTTCATTGTTCTTAGTGGATTGCTAGATTTTTTAGGATCCTTTTAATCACCAACTTTCAACCACTTTTGCCCATTTCCCACATGATCTGTCTTTTTAACTGTATGTCGGGTTCGGGTTTAGGGTGAAAAAAAACGGACCGACCCGAAAATATATATAATTCGGGTCGGGTCGGATTAAGTCACTGTTTTTATTAAATAAAAATAATTTTTTATTATTTCGGGTCGGGTCGGATTTCTAATTCATATATTCGGGTCGGGTCGGATGAAACTTTATTTTGTTTGGGTCGGGTTTTTTAAGTGTGATATTAGGGTTGAGTCGGGTTTTTTTAAGTGTGATATTCGGGTCAGGTTCGGGTTTAGGGTGAAAAAAAATCGGACCGACCTGAAAAAATATATAATTTTACCTTATATATTTAGGAATAATTACAATAATACCCCTTTATATATAATTTTTTTCAATTAAGTCAATGTTTTTATTGAATAAAAATAATTTTTTTTATTATTTTGAGTCGTGTCGGGTCGAGTTTCTAATTCATATATTGAATAAAAATAATTTTTGGTATATTTTTTGGTAACTAATTAACATACTCCGATTGGAATGTATCGAAATATTACTCTATTTTTTGGTAACTTATTAACATATTTTGATTGCGATGATTTTAACTTATAATGTTTATTAGCATGATTTTTATAATTTATTGAAATCAATAATCAATCAATAAAATAAAAATTTAATATTTTTTTAATTTTTTATAATATATTACTACATGTAAGTTGTAAAATAAACTAAAATAAAGCAAAAAACCAAGAATGACAATTCTGTCATTTTACATTACTGAAATCAAATTCATTTAACATGTCTGCGAATCAAACAGAATATGGAATTAGATTCTAATTCATTCACATATTCAAATTCCCTCATAAACATTCCAGCGAACCAAACCTCACCTTAATCCCAAATTCCAAGTCTTCCCTTCCGTCAACTGATGGGAATTACAGAAGTTTCTCGACACACATTTCAGACTTTCACCACTCATCCTTGACAATGGCAACTAATGGAGGACAGTAATATAATTATTTCTTAAATATTTAGGATAATTACAATAACATCCATTTCTTCGTTTTTTTCTCAATTATTTTACTTAATAAAATGAATTATATACATCATATGTGAATTTTTACATCAAAGACTGAATTAAATAATTTTTTTCTAAATTCGAGTTAAATTAGATGATAAGGGAAGAATATAACACTTAGATCAAATTCAAGTAGATAAAAAAAATCTAACCTCATCTATATTATCCCTAAATAATAATTTGATATAGTCTTTTGTAGCATATGATTTTTTGAGGTTAAGCTTAATTGTAATAGAATAGATATATTTCAAAGAAACAAAAGAGAAAAATGGAGCTTTGATTACATCAAAGCAACCTTTTATAATTTTATACCTAAATGTGGGTCATGTTGAAATTATTTGAAATGGACAGATATAAATCAAGTGTGTTCTAAATTCAAAGCTGTTGACTAGCAAATAAATCGACAGTGTTTCTTCATTAATACATATAAAGTAAAATTCTAGCTACTCCCATATTTGGTTGAAGCCTGCAGCACCAATATTTTTTCACCTCATTCTTCTTCACCTAACGTTCAAACTTTTCCCTTGTGGTCCCTCTCGTAGAGAGAGTGAGAACTTGGGGACAAAGTGTCCTACTGAAGGGTCCTGAACAAACAAAGGAACCTGCTCACTTCCGGCCACGTGGGGGAAGAAATCTAGTTACTAGCAATGATGCAAATTTCTCAAAATCCATGGTTTCCACGTCGCCATATAATATAAGCTTGTTATTAATTAGACAACAATCAGACAAGTTGAACCGCTGTATCTCTACACTATTTGATGAGCATAAATATACCGAGTTAATATAAAAAATTTAAAAAAATAAAATTCGATTGAATAAAACATATTATTAAACATATAATTTTTTAATAGTGATATGAGTAATTTTAAAATTAAAATGAAATAGTATTTTTTATAATAAATTATATAAATTACGTAACTATTTTTATTATAATATAAAAAATTATCATCAAAACATTTTCAATCGTAAGCAAAATCATTACTAATTATTAATTTTTTAGAGTAGATACATAACATATTAAATTAGAACCTGTTGTAATATAACGTTTTTAACTATAACCAAATTATTATATTGTATACCTTTCTAAGCTGAATAAAATAATATTTTAAATAAAAATATGTTACAATTTATTCTTAAATTAAGTCTCGCAAAACAAAATTACCCTCGACAGAAGTACTCTGATCTTGGAGAAATGTTTTAATGACCCAATTCATCACGTCATTCATGATCTCCATCAATAAGATCCATCTATCTCAAACTAACTTCCAAACGAACTCCTTATTAATTTCCTTATTTATATGTAGTAAAGAGGTTAAAAATCACCTTAAAAATGAGATGAAAAAATATTATTAACTGAGACCATGGATACCATGAATAACGTGATAATCCGGATCCATCTAATAATTGTTTTCTTAGGCCAATCTCAAATAAGTAGCATATTGTAACAATCCTGTTCTGATAATCAGAAATATTAGTACAATACAAGAAGAAGAAGCCAATGGAGTTGCTATCACTTTTTATACAGAAATAAAAGACTTTTATTCTTAGGTTCTCTTTGTAAGATACCTCCTTATCCAGGTCTTCTTCATGGTCTTGATTCCCTCGGCCTTGGAGGTCGACCTCTTCCACTTTACGAGCTGAAACAAGTGACCCATCCGCTTTGGCCACCGGAGCGTGCCACCTGAGTTGGGATGCTGGATCACACTCTTATGGCACTCTTTTAGGTCCTTGCCCAACGTGGGGTTCCACGACATGCTGCAATTCTCAAGTGAAACCTTTGAAACTTTGCCTTTTTCCCATGATCCGACCCCATTCTCTCCGAACTTGATTGAGATAAAAGACTCTGCACAAAGACTAAAATCTGGGTTCTCAACCAAAGGAAGAAGATGACGATAAATCAAAGTACTAAGTCCTATACTATGATAAAGTTTATGGTATGTTATAGTATCCTCCGAATATATGAAAATAGTTAAAAGAAAATACAACACGCATAAATCAATTGCAGAATTCGATGGATCTTTAGGATTTTCCAAACAATTATTGATGGTAACCAAGCTAGCCAAACATAACATTCCCATTGAAAAATATATATATTTCCATGCAAGGGAAAATTTGCAAAGGAAGCTGAAGAAAACAGGATAAGATTCTTGATTTTTCCAGTTTGCCCATAATTTGACTGCACTTTTGTCATTTACACAAACAATGATTTTGCATTATGAAGAGACATGCATGCAAGCGATGGATGTTCAAGAATACACGAAGAAAAAACCCAGTTTATGAAAGAAAGTTAAAAGGGGGGAGAGAGAGAGAGGGATTTGAAACTGAAATTGAAAGGGTATTTGGTATTGACCTTCTTGGCCTGTTGAAGCGTCGTGGTGATCAAAATCTCGGGGTTTCCAATGCTTGAGTGAGGGTAAAGCAAAGATGTTGGGGAGGTGAATGCGGGGCTTCTTTTGAACAAATCCTCTGTTGGACGATGGAGACCGGGCTTGCTCTGAAGCTAAGAGAAGAAGCCTCTCTTTTAAGCACACAGGGCAAACCCCAATCACCACTTGTTGTGGATGGGAATAGCACCATGACTTGTCTTCCCTGCACCCATTCATTACTGAAAAACAAGAGAAGCAAATGTCGAGTCTTTCAGGACAAACTATTTGAATTGATGTTCTGGTAGCTAGGTAGTGAATCATGAAAACACGATAAAATAGAGCAAGCGATCATTAACGTTTTGTATTAACAATTTATTCTAATATCCTGTGTATTAATAAAAATATTGTTAATATTGTTAATAAAATATATAAATTTTTAAGAAAAGGAACTATTTGTTGTGATTGCAGATTGAGAGTCCCAAGTGAATAAAGGGGCATGTACAGGCGGAATTGGTGTAGCACAAGACATTCGAAAAATGGGAAAATCACTGCTCCTTTTTGCATCGATCTTCTCTACACGGAGTTTCCAAAAGTATCAATCCTATTTCCTTAGGAATTGCTTTGTCGATTTTTTTTCTTTAGGTTTTGTCATTCGAACTCGAGACCTATTTGAACGATTTTAAGTTACTTACCACTTGAATCTACTCTGTTGATGATTTGTTGATTTTTATTAATTACCATTTTATTGTTAATAAACAATCATATCATATTAATAAGGGTAAACTACATGCGTAGTACTCCAACGCAGCTATACCTTTGTTCCGTTTTAGACACCCAACTTTTAATTTTAGTTGTATTTTGATTATCTGTCATTAAAAAATAATTTTAATGTTAATATGTCACCATAAGATTATATCAAATCATTATTGAAAAAGTAAAAAAATATCACATCAGTAATTCTATTAATTTTTAACAATAGTTGATCAAAACGTAATATTAGATATGGTTTTAAAAGATAATTGAATGACTCAAATGGAACAAAAGTGATAGCAAGAGTGATAAACGTGAAATTTACCCTATTAATAATGACATCTCATGATTCCGAGCATGAAAATAGAAAAATGTTTGAGAAGAAAAAGTATATTAAGCTTTTGTAAGAAAAAGTTTTAAGTAGAATCATAGGGTGCGTTTGGTTCACGGAATGTAAGATTATCAGTGGGAATAAAAAATTACCAGGGAATATGATTACTGGGAATATTGTATTTTGTGTTTGGTTGGTTTAGCAGGAATGTAGGATTACCGTGTTTGGTTAAAAGAATAAAATATTATTAGAATGTATATTTGACCAAATTGTCCTTATTATATATTTGTTTTTTAACAAGTTGAAAAATATTTATATATTTTCTTTAAAAATTTAAATTCATAAAATTTATATAATTTTTTTTTCAAAATTGAAAATATAAAAAGGTTTAATGAAAGGGTAAAATTTTATTTAAAAACCTAAACTTCATATAAAATTTTAATTATAGACTTTTTTTTTGTAAATCTAAAATAGTTTAAGGATAAATTTGTAATTTAACCTTCGTAAAATTTTTATTATTCAATGATAGAATAATGATATTTTTTAAAGAAATTTTTTAAGGGCATTTTAGTCCAAAACATCGGTAATCCAACAATACCTAAGGAAATGGAGGTAATGACATTCCCGATAATATACCTCAAAAAATCCACTATTAGAAATATAAGATTACCGGGAATGATATTCCCTGTCAATCAAACGGGGGAATGTAGATTTCATTCCCATGGGAATCTCACATTCTCCCAACCAAACACACCCTAAAAGTAATAATACTCCATTAACCAAATGCAGTAAACTTCATTTATTAAGAATTTACATCAATTCTCATTAGGTGATTTTATTTAGAATCTGTGATCCATATAATTTGGCGATTTGTGTCTTGGGCATTTGCTTTCTTTCTTTTCTTTTTGCAATTGTAGAGGTGTAAAGGGTATTGAAAAGGAGATGCCTTAAATGTGGGTAAGGACTCGATCGATCATCGTTATCATGGACCGCTGTAGGGGATCTGTTAGTGACTGTGGGATTTAAGAGACGGAGTAAGCATGAATTCAAATCATGGTCGTAATCGCGTTTTCGAAGGGCACCGCTAATGTTATATCGCTAGCATAGCAGACGCTATTACGGTGATTATGGGTATTACAGTCAAATAATAGCGTTTTCAAAGAGCATCGCTACCGCTATATCACGGTCACGAACTGTTATTTAAATCCTTGGGAGTAAGACTAAAGTAAAATGTCTTATATTTTAGGGGCACTCGCTGAAAAAATTATTAGTAAAGAGAAATAATTTTTCGAAATTACATTCTCACATTTAGTTTAGGAGCATGCCTTCTTGAGATAATGAAGTATTTTTAACGGTGACAATTTCTTTCCCTTATAACAATAATACCACTAAAATAATATAGTTATTTTAAAATGATCTTTACTTTTAATATATAATCACATGATTATAAATTTATTTTATTTCTTTTTTAATGATTTCAATTTTTTTAATACTTATTATAAAATAATATGATGTATATAAAATAAAAAGTAAAACAATAATATCAATTTTTTATTTTATTTTGATTATTTATTATATATGTATTTGATTCGAGTTTTATTTTTGGTATGTGTTTTATTTTTAGGATTAATTTCCATAAATTTTTTTCTATATTATATTTTTATTAATTTTGTAAAATAATTTGAAATGATATTTCTTTGTACAACTTGTATATATATATAGGCATCAATAAAATAAAACAGTGTATCATTAACACATACTTAGATCAGTGTAAGTATGTACATCTCTCAATACCTTGGTACCTAAAAAATAAATACATATTTACACAGGTGTAAGTATGTACATCTTCCAAAATCTTGATACCTAAAAATAAACACATAATTATATTGGTGTAAGTATGTTTCAGTATTTTTAAAGGAATAAAAAATTAAAATAATAAAAAATTAATTTATTTGTGTATAAATATTATTTAAAAATATAAAAAAAATATATATTTTTTCTATAAACTTTCATTTAATATTTTGACTTTAATATTGAAAATTGAACTTATTAGAAAAGAAAATATATTTTAAGGATAATTTGATTAAAAATATATTTTCTATATTTTATATTCTCCGATTAAACACTGTAATCTTACATACCTATCAAACAGTGTAATAAAATATTCTTAGTAATATGATAAGTAATATAACATTACGGTAGTTTTATTCTAAAAGATAATCTTACATTTTATGAATCAAACGATCTTGAAGGGTTTAATCTCCACATTGAGTTCATCTTATTTAACATTTGAAGACCCTCGCCCTAAACGTAGGAAGTGATTTGGCGGATTACGATTATTGATCTGTTAAGAGCTGATATTTTCTGAAGAACATTCTTGGTATATTTCAGCAACATTGATAACACTAAGATTACAGCATAAACCATGATTTGTTTAAATTTTTAAGTTTGAGGTGAATTTCTAAAATTTTAAGAAATAAATTTATAAAATTTTGAGACGATAAAAACAAATTATAAATACAAAATACAAAAAATATAAAATATAAGATAATTTAATTTTTTTTTAAAGAGAACTGTTTACATTAATTATCAATTTTATTTGAAAAATGAAGTATTATGTTTATAGACATGCAGAACATGAAAAGGGATTTGCATTTGAAAACACGAGGTAAATTTAATGGGATAATGTGGTGGAGAAAAAAATGACTCCTATGGGATATTGGAGAAATTATTTTCTCAAATAAAGTGAAATAAACAGTAAATAAAAGAAGATATTCGGATCACATGACGTCTTTATAAGGATATAGAGAAAATATGACCCATGCCGCATGTAGTTAGAACATTAAATCTAACATCATCATCATAATAATAATAATACAAAAAAATTCAGATACTTTCCAAATATATCAAAATAATCACGGTATCATTTTAAAAAATATTTTTTATTAATTTTTTAAAAGTTAAACTCATGACTATTTTAAATATTTTAAATAATTAAATTTTATAAAATATATGTTTGAAAATTACTTTACTGGAGGTTTTTAAAATATATTTTTTTTATATTTTTTATCAATAATAAATTTTAAATAATAATTAATTAAAGTTTTAAAAAATTGATAAAAAATCAATAATAGATATATTTTATGAAACAAAGGAAGTACAACGTTATAATAAATAAAAACACTATAATAAATACAACATTCTACTAGATAGTTTTTCCAACGCTCTAAATCAATCAATTTTGAAAACATGATTTTCATGTAGTTCATATAGAATAAAGCATAAACCGTTGGGAAAAACTAGAAACAAAGAAAATGAAATAAGGAAAAGGTTAAAAAGGAAGGTTGAAATCTGGGTCTTGATCATGTCAATCTTTACGCTAGTCAAGAATGGCAAAATGACCAGTCAATACATCAAATCATCTTTCAGACTAGCTTGGCCAGGTCTTCTGAAAGCTTTTCAAGATGGTAATTTTGATGCACACGTGGACCAATAATATTCAATGGACACAAGTAGGGTCAGGTGATATTTTTCTTGAGATAAATGAATTAGTATTATTTTTTGAAACCTCTATTTTAGGCTGATGTCACTTAAATTTGTTGGCTGAATTTGTGCAATAATTAGTGGAAAAAAATTGTTTGAATAATATAGTCGATAGATTATTTACTTGAACAAGGTGAATGTTATAGGATAGAACGGAGTCGTATTGGGCTCTCCTCATCTCCCCAAGGTCGCATAGAATACTATGCAACTTTCATTCTCCCATATCACCATGTGTTTTTCTCTCAATATTTTAACCTTTCGAATGCTTATTACAAAGCCTTTAATTTTACAATGTAGTGGAAAATCAAAAATCATTCAAAAATGGCAAAGCAAAATTAAAGGCGGAGAAAGACGCATGGTGATTCGGAGGATAGGGAGTCGCATGGTGATTTGGGAGAAGGGGAGTTGCATAGTGTTTCATGCGACCTTGGGGAGACGCGGAGAGTACAATGCGACTCCGTTCTATATTGTAGCATTTGCCTCATTCGAGCAAATAATCTCTCGGGTGTACTATTTGAACAAAAAAATTTCGACTGTATTATTGCAAAAAATCAACCAATTTTAATGATATCAACCCAATTGAAAAAAATACAAAATAACAAAATATAAATTTAATAATTATTTTTATTTTATTTTTACTAATAAGTTATTAGTATCGAAAATAATTATTTATTTTATAAAATTAAATTACTTAAAATAA